GTGTGTTTTTGTGTGTGTGTGTGTGTGTGTGTATATATATATATATATATATATATATATATATACACACGTACATACACACACCATAGATTTTATACAGCATATTTTTATATTTATTTTAATTCATTCTTTCTTTTCCAAGGCTTTTTTTTGTCCCCTTCATTTTTAGAATGATTATTTTCAGTGCTGTGAAAAATTTGTGTACCCCATAAAAACTGTATGGGTTAATTTTTCTTTTTAAATTATTTGTAAAAACAAAAAAAAATCTGTATAATTACATTTGATGTACTAGCATGGACATTTAAAGGAACACTCCACTATTTTTGAAAATAGCGGTAGCACTTTTAGCTGTAGCTTAGCATAGATCATTGAATCTGATTAGACCGTTAGCATCTCGCTCAAAAATGACCAGAGTTTCTTTTCTATGCACCCATGGTACGGCAGCAAAGCTCCTTGATTATTACGCCGAAATGAGAGTACAGTTCCTAGCCATATCGGCCTAGAAAAATCACAACTTTTCATTTCCGTCTGTCTTAGTACACGATGTAACTACAGAAGAGTCACGTTTTAAATAGGAAAAATATAGAAACTCTTCATTTTTGAGCGAGATGCTAACGGTCTAATCAGATTCAATGATCTATGCTAAGCTACAGCTAAAAGTGCTACCGCCAGACCTGGAGATCGACTGAATGGATTTGAAAACTGTAAAAATCAACTGTTTAACTCTAGGGGAGTTGGAAAATAAGCCTATTTTCAAAAATAGTGGAGTGTTCCTTTAAGATACTGTATGCCTCCAAAAGCTTGTTACTACTAAACAGTTTCTCATTTACTAAATGCTTTAAAAGGAAATAAACATGCAAAAAACAACAATGTGATTCACCAGGGCTTTGTTTGGCCGATATAGTGCACTAGATGCAATGAGAAAACAGTTCATCAACTGAGCAGTCGTATGGTTTGAATATATATGTGTAACCATATGTTTTTTTTATGTAATGTACCATGGGCCATAGTTTCCAGATATTATTAGCAATACCAGTTTCTCATCAACGGGAAAGCCTCAAAGGTAAAAAAGAAGAAAAAAGTGATGATGATGATAAGAATGCATATGTTTTTTCAGTCCTCAGAAGCGAGTGTCCTTCAGGACAGGAGACACGATCAGAAAGCCAGTTTCTTCATCAGGAGATAGACCCTGGAGTCCACTTCAAATCCATGCAGATTATTAGCATCTCCCTGAAGTCGCATTAGCAGACCTCCATACGACACATACGCAGATCTGTGTAGACACACATACGCACAAATCAGTGATTAGATTAGAAAGTATTATACCACATTGCTATATTATAAAATAAACAATTTTATATTCGAAAATGTGGTATACCTATGATGAAAATTACAGGCCTCTCTCATCTTTTTAAGTGGGAGAACTTGCACAACTGGTGGCTGACTAAATACTTTTTTGCCCCACTGTATGTGTTTGCATTTTATATGCATGTATTTACAAATGTTATAAAAGCTTTTAGGAAAAACTAAAAAGTGGGGAAAATGTCAGAATGAATGAATGAATGAATCTCACAGTCGTGTGGCCGCTTCTGTTGAGGTTTCATCTCCTTCAATCCTATAAACCTTTCCATACATGACATAATCAAACTGATCAGCCCTGCAAAAGAGCAATGAAGTTACAATCTAAAACAGCGGTTTTCTGTGTGAAGATCTGTTAAACTAATTTATTTCTGTGATCAAAGCTGAATTCTCAGCATCATTACTCCAGTCTTCAGTGTCACATGATCTTCAGTTATTAATAATGGTTCTTATTATCGATGTTTGCTGCTAAATATTTTTGTGAGACTATTTTTTTCAAGATTCTTCGACGAATCGAAAGTTCAAAAGAACAGCATTTATTTGAAATAGAAATATTTTGTCGTATTACTGTCAGTTTGAATTAATTTAATGCATTCTTGCTAAATAAGTGTTCATTTCTTTGAATGGTACAGTTTAAAAAACATCAACATATCACTTTTCAATCAAATACAAAGAATAAACAACTAAATTGGTTTAAAATTAGGTTAAATTTAACAAAATAATAATCCGATTAATTATTTAGATAAAATAACTTTCAAATAGCATTCTGTAATAGGGCTGCACAATTAATCAAATTTCTAATCGCGATTACAATTATGGATGCCACAATTACGTAATCGTTCAAAGCGGCAATTAATCGTTCAAAGTCCTCTTATGTTATTCTGCACGCTTAAGATGCATTTTTTTCTTTCTACATGTTATCTTAAGGGTTTTTCCATTGTTTTAGTTTTAGTTAGTGGTCGACAGATATTGTTTTTTTGACAGCCGATGCCGATATCTTGGAAAGCAGGGTTGCCGATATAAAGCAGATATAATTGTATTTATTTTAATTAATATTTAAGAAATTTGAAATCATTTGAAAATTGTTTAAAAAAATAAATGTTAAATAAACATACTTATACTTTAGATGACAAAGTATTTTTCACAAATAAATAAATATTTCATAAAAAATATAATTAAAAAGGAAGTAAACACTGTAACCAACAAGGGACTCAGTATTCTGGAAAGTTTGTGTGCATTGGGAATTTAATTTTTTCAAATAAAGCCAAGGTAACACTCTTTTTACATACAGCACACAGTGAAAATGACATTAATATGGCAGTGGGCAAAAGCATGTAGCACATTTTGAAATAATGAGTTTAAAGTTTGTCTGAACTCTCCTCCTGTCCGCATTCAATTCACACGGACCGACCGTCACGCAGAGAACACGCAATCATGCAGGTCACATGCACACTTCACAAGATCTTACAGCTGGATCCAACTGAGTTTGTAAGGTTTTTGAAATTAGGTGTTCATTAGTCATTCAAAGATTTGTTTAAATGATGTAAATGCGTATCTGCTGAATGCTGACGGCAAACGAGAAAGTATTATAATGTTTGCCTTTCTATTACTAACAATATAAAAGCAAACGTTATAATATTTTTGTATACATTTTAATTCCTTTGTTTAACTGTTCTATCTGATTATTAGACAGACTTCTATCTGTGGACAGAACTGATAACGACGACAGCGAACAAGAAGGAGAATGTGAGCACAGTGTTTGCAGGCGCTGCCGTTCTCAGCGCAGTCAAAATAAAAGTCCCGCCTCGAACACATCGGCCAAACAGAAAAACTTATCGGCCAATGCCGATATTTGAAAAATGCCAAATATCGGCCGATATATCGGTCGACCACTAGTTTTAGTTTAACATTATAATACCAAGCACTAAAGGTTTTTCAGTTAGAGTGTTTTCAGCTCGTTTATTTTCATATAAAAATACGGCATGCAGTTGCATCAAACAGTGGTATAAACATCATTCAATGTAAATTGTGCTAATCGTAATTAATAATCGCAATTACAATTTCAAGGGAATAATCGACAATTATGATTTTTGTCAATCGTGCAGCTCTATTCTGTTGTTAGCGCCGATATACAGCGCCACTGCGCTTCAGGCGTCACGAGTTCGAGTCCTGGCTCATGAACCTTTCCCGATCCCGCTTTCCATCTGCTCTACACTGTCCTATCATCATAAATCTTTAAAATAAATAAATAGCATTTATTTGGATGTGACATTTGCTTTTATAAATGTATTTGCAAATTATTAATATGATTAATAGTTAGTCATTCTCACACAAGAGAAATACATTTTCTACATCTGAATGTTTTGCATATTCTTTCTAATTAATGTTTTGGTTCTGTGTGTTTTGTTGTGTGACCTGGACGGTCTGTCGTCCTGAGGGTTGTATTCCCCGTCATCCGGCGTCCCGTCCTCAAACAGCGTGCTGGCGATCACCAGTCTGAACTTGTCACCTGAGCCAACATCATGATTATGAGACCATATCAAACTCACAACACCACCACCACCACGACTGAAGAGCTCGACTATCACTTACCGAGATCAACCGGATAAATCTGGATGTTCACGTCCAGGATCAGGTCCATTTTGAAAGACTCACTTTCACAGTGAAAACGAGACACTGATAATCACAAAATCAACACTTTTAGAATTGCTGACGTCTTTTCTAGGGCTGCACAAAATCGCAATTACAATTATGGATGCCACAACTACATAATCATTCAAAGCAGCAATCAATCGTTCAAAGTCCACTTATGTTATTCTGCACGCTCTTAAGGGTTTTTCCATTGTTTTAGTTTTAGTATAACACCATTCATATTTTGACCTTTTTATTTAAAGAAGAAACCAATCCAATGTATATTTGACATTTGAGGCTTAATACTATAGAGAAGCACTAAAGGTTTTTCAGTTAGTGTTTTCAGCTTGTTTACTTTCATATAAAAATACGGCATGCGGCTGCATCAAACAATGGTATAAACATCACTCAATTAATCGTAAATTAATAATCTCAATTTCAAAGGAATAATCGACAATTATGATTTTTGCCCTATGTTTTTCCTGAATTAATTTAATAAAATGTAAAACGATTATTAAGGAAAGGATGGCTTTGAATAAAACGACCGAGAGCCTTTTCTTGGTCACACCTAGCAGCAACCTTAAAACATGAATATATTTTAAATACAGTGGGTACGGAAAGTATTCAGACCCCCTTAAATTTTTCACTCTTTGTTATATTGCAGCCATTTGCTAAAATCATTTAAGTTAATTTTTTTCCTCATTAATGTACACACAGCACCCCATATTGACAGAAAAACACAGAATTGTTGACATTTTTGCAGATTTATTAAAAAAGAAAAACTGAAATATCACATGGTCCTAAATATTCAGACCCTTTGCAAAAATGCCAAATATCGGCCGATATATCGGTCGACCACTAGTTTTAGTTTAACATTATAATACCAAGCACTAAAGGTTTTTCAGTTAGAGTGTTTTCAGCTCGTTTATTTTCATATAAAAATACGGCATGCAGTTGCATCAAACAGTGGTATAAACATCATTCAATGTAAATTGTGCTAATCGTAATTAATAATCGCAATTACAATTTCAAGGGAATAATAGTTTAACATTATAATACCAAGCACTAAAGGTTTTTCAGTTAGAGTGTTTTCAGCTCGTTTATTTTCATATAAAAATACGGCATGCAGTTGCATCAAACAGTGGTATAAACATCATTCAATGTAAATTGTGCTAATCGTAATTAATAATCGCAATTACAATTTCAAGGGAATAATCGACAATTATGATTTTTGTCAATCGTGCAGCTCTATTCTGTTGTTAGCGCCGATATACAGCGCCACTGCGCTTCAGGCGTCACGAGTTCGAGTCCTGGCTCATGAACCTTTCCCGATCCCGCTTTCCATCTGCTCTACACTGTCCTATCATCATAAATCTTTAAAATAAATAAATAGCATTTATTTGGATGTGACATTTGCTTTTATAAATGTATTTGCAAATTATTAATATGATTAATAGTTAGTCATTCTCACACAAGAGAAATACATTTTCTACATCTGAATGTTTTGCATATTCTTTCTAATTAATGTTTTGGTTCTGTGTGTTTTGTTGTGTGACCTGGACGGTCTGTCGTCCTGAGGGTTGTATTCCCCGTCATCCGGCGTCCCGTCCTCAAACAGCGTGCTGGCGATCACCAGTCTGAACTTGTCACCTGAGCCAACATCATGATTATGAGACCATATCAAACTCACAACACCACCACCACCACGACTGAAGAGCTCGACTATCACTTACCGAGATCAACCGGATAAATCTGGATGTTCACGTCCAGGATCAGGTCCATTTTGAAAGACTCACTTTCACAGTGAAAACGAGACACTGATAATCACAAAATCAACACTTTTAGAATTGCTGACGTCTTTTCTAGGGCTGCACAAAATCGCAATTACAATTATGGATGCCACAACTACATAATCATTCAAAGCAGCAATCAATCGTTCAAAGTCCACTTATGTTATTCTGCACGCTCTTAAGGGTTTTTCCATTGTTTTAGTTTTAGTATAACACCATTCATATTTTGACCTTTTTATTTAAAGAAGAAACCAATCCAATGTATATTTGACATTTGAGGCTTAATACTATAGAGAAGCACTAAAGGTTTTTCAGTTAGTGTTTTCAGCTTGTTTACTTTCATATAAAAATACGGCATGCGGCTGCATCAAACAATGGTATAAACATCACTCAATTAATCGTAAATTAATAATCTCAATTTCAAAGGAATAATCGACAATTATGATTTTTGCCCTATGTTTTTCCTGAATTTATTTTAATAAAATGTAAAACGATTATTAAGGAAAGGATGGCTTTGAATAAAACGACCGAGAGCCTTTTCTTGGTCACACCTAGCAGCAACCTTAAAACATGAATATATTTTAAATACAGTGGGTACGGAAAGTATTCAGACCCCCTTAAATTTTTCACTCTTTGTTATATTGCAGCCATTTGCTAAAATCATTTAAGTTAATTTTTTTCCTCATTAATGTACACACAGCACCCCATATTGACAGAAAAACACAGAATTGTTGACATTTTTGCAGATGTATTAAAAAAGAAAAACTGAAATATCACATGATCCTAAGTATTCAGACCCTTTGCTGTGACACTCAAATATTTAACTCAGGTGCTGTCCATTTCTTCCGATCATCCTTGAGATGGTTCTACACCTTCATTTGAGTCCAGCTGTGGTTGATTATACTGATTGGACTTGATTAGAAAAGCCACACACCTGTCTATATAAGACCTTACAGCTCACAGTGCATGTCAGAGCAAATGAGAATCATGAAGTCAAAGAGTATATTGCGTTATAAATGAGCGTGTTCAGCAAATATGATTTACTTTCTGCAGATATAATGCGCGCAGGATCGTTCCAGTTAAAAATAGGAAATAATAACCGTGGGGGAAAACATCAACTTTCTTCTCATTCTACACAAATATGAAAAATGCCGCGAAACAATACGCTTCACCACCGGCCACGTGATATACTACTACATCCGGGTCATGGCTCGCGTTTACTACGGTGGAGCATTGCGGTAAAAAAAAAAAAAAGATTAAAAATGAGTAAAAATGACATCGAAGTAAAATGATAAAAATATATACATATAGATATACATATATATAAATAATACGTATATAAAATATACATAAAGATACAAATACGTTAAAATAAAAATAAAGAAATAAAATACAAATATTTCTGCTTATGTTCTGTATGCATTTTATAATTTTACCTGCATATAATATACACGCACAGTTTTATATTCCGCTTTAATGCCTAATAATAACGATGGGTAAATTTTTAAACATACGATTACAAACGACCATGTATACAATAATACAAAAATAATTTTAAAAAAGCAATAAAACTGATTAATAAATGCTTTCTTCCTTTTAGAAGGCTTGAAAGACGCAAAATCATGACAAAGCATGCCACTGATTATTATGATAACTTCACACTCAAAGAAACAAGCCAAATACTTTCCCCTTTTAAAACTATCATGTGAACATTAACGTTCGAAAAAATACAAACGACTACATTTATCCTCACGTAAAACTACAAAAAAAATTACGACACATATATCCGGCAACCGGCGTTTCCGTTGCGGTTGCTAGGAGAAAGCGTCTCGCTCATGGTTACCGTCGCAGTTAGCCAAACAGCTGCTGTTTATCCTCCTGAAATCGTCTTTAATAGCGTGTATACCTCTACAGATTTGACAGAAAGCACACCAGATATGTTCAGCGACGGCTGCACGGCAAGTATTGTTATTGAGGTGAGCTCTGTTATTATGTTTACGTTAGCCTGCAAACTGGCAATGGAGGACGCGCACGCCAGCTAACGTAACTGTATGCATAGCTGTTATAAATGTTTATTCAGCTCATTATTATTTACGAACAAATACTCGCAGTGTTTTTAGCAGCACATATTAGCTTATTTCTGCATAACCAGTTTTGCCTTCGAGATGGAAAAAAAGGCTCTCAAGTGACTTATTTGTAAAGCAAAATATATGTTTTGATGGGTTATGTTTTGTTAAATATGCTTTTAACATGTAATATTAGTATTTGGCAGTGACAGCATCATCCTGAGATCTGATATGTTCTGTCACAGTATCCCAGTATTACAATGAATGTATTTATTATTATTATTATTTAGGTTGTGGATCAATGAGCTCCAGAAAGTCTGTGAAGATGGGTGAGGATCTGGCAAGTGAAAGTGATCTGCTGTCAATGATCAGCGAGGTCGGCTAAGTTCCATGACTGTTATTGTTCTGTTTATTTCACAAATATGAACAGACAATGACAAATAATGTGACGATTTGCAGTATCTGAGGTTTGCTGAGCTTGAAGAGACTGCGAGAGTGTTTGAAAAGGAACTCAAGTGCAAAGGCAAACCTGTCCTCAGAAGTGCAGCACACTCCCGGCGAGACTCCAAAACCCTCGGCGTTCACGTGAGACTGACCTTGTTTATTCATAGAGAACATGAAGTGACAATCTGCAGTGTTTTTATTAGATCAGCTCAGTGTTTCCCCTACACAAACACACACTCACTCACTCACTCACTCTCACGCACGCACGCACACACAATCGCGCACGCACGCGCACGCACGCACGCACTCTCTCTCTCTCTCACACACACACTCTCTCTCTCTCTCTCTCTCACATGCACACACACACACACTCTCTCACACACACACTGTCTCTCTCACACACACACACACACACACACTCTCTCACACACACACACTCTCTCTCTCACACACACACGCGCACGCACACACACACACTCACTCACTCACTCACTCACTCTCTCTCACACACACACTCTCTCTCGCTCGCACGCACACACACACATACACACACACACACACTCTCTCTCTCACACTCACACACACACTCTCTCTCTCTCTCACACACACGCGCACACACACACACTCTCTCTCTCTCACACTCACACACACACACTCTCTCTCTCACACTCACACACACACACACTCTTTCTCTCTCACACTCACACACACACACACACACACACACACACTCTCTCTCACACACACACAATCTTTTTAATATTGTTACAGTAATGAATCACCATTGAGAATAATGACAATGGATTTTTTGTATGCAAAAACACGTGGAACAGTGGTCAAACGTGTTCTTCTAACATGTTTACCAAAAAAAAACAAAAAAAATTCATTGGAATGCAAAAACTTGTTCAGTGTGAACATCCTTAAAGGAACACTCCACTATTTTTTATTTTTCCACTAAGTTTTAATAAATTTTATATTTATATGTACAATTTTTTCATCGCAGAATCAGTGTGTTATAGTTTTTTTATAACCGATCAGCTTGCTTTATTATAATCTTGTTATAAACATATCAACAAAAGTTTATTTGGCTTTAAAATTGTATCTATTATTATTATTATTATTATTATTATTATTATTATTATTATATTTTTGCTTTTAGCTGGAATTCCAAAACGTTTGCACTTTTTCATAAGAAATCATAGTTTTAATCATGTACAATTTGCAATGTACAAGTAGTAGTTTAAATGTCAGAAATAGTTCAACACATATAATGTATTTAGATTTTATATATAATTTATAATATATAGCTATTTTAATAAAATCTCTATTTAATAAATCTATATTTAACAAAATATTTTAAAGAAAATCTCTGTCATTACCAAACTGCTCAGTATTTGTGAATTTTAATTTAATTAAAAAAGACTGAAACGTGAAAAAAAACTACTGAAATTAGTTGATGTTTATATGATTTACATATATATATATACCTTTTAAAAATGTTTACATGTAGATCAGAGAAAACCTTTATTTATGTATTTATTTAGACTTAAAAATGAAAAGCAACTGAAAAGTGAATTGACCTCTTGATATCTTGTTTCTTCCTATAGGAGGATTTTCTCAGCTCTTTTAATGATGGCGACTATAAGGTATTCTCGGAGCTGTGGGCTAAAACCATTCCTCTGGAGATTCGGGACTTTGATCCAGTAGCTCAGAAACTGGAATTCCACTTACAAATTCATTTTACAATATACCCACTGAAATCAGCTGTAGGAAGTCACGTAAGTGCGCTTTACTGTTGGGAATAGTAATACAATTATCTTTTTGTTTAATGAACTGAATAGACAAATGCATGTATTCTGTTTGACCAACAGATGTCCTCATAAACTAAAACATTCAGGCCAACCTCTCGTTCAGTCGAATACATGACTTGAATCAGTATTTGAATGGCATAGTATTAGCTTTCAGTCAAGATGCAAACTCTCTCTTTTTTGATGTAAAAATATGTTTGTGTAATACAGGATAAAGGAGAGTTTGACAGCAGGATCACACATTTCAAGCACTATCTGGAGACCAGAGGGGCGGCACTGAGCCAGACCACCGAGTTCCTGCCGTTCTACGCTCTGCCGTTTGTGCCCAATCCCACAGTACACCCGTCCTTCCAGGAGCTTTTCCAGGTACAACACACATCCACTACCAACCACCAACACACCAGCTGATTAACAGTCATTGCAGAAAATCTCTGAAAACTGAGGTTAGTTCTTAGATACTGGGGTACACTTTCTTATACAGGGGTGCCCAAACTCGGTCCTGGAGGGCCGGTGTCCTGCAGAGTTTAGCTCCA